TCTCCCTAGTACCGGAGGAGGACAGGCGCGGCAGCCCATAGACCACCCTCTACTGTCCCAGGGAAAGTCTCTAACGGAAATTCGGCACTGTATCTGTTACTACAGGTGGCGCATATCCCGGAAATCCTTTTTTCTCTAAACACAAGTTTCTATAGAAATATAAAGATATAGGAGTTAGAAAGATCAACTTGGGTCTGAGGAAATGCGGAGCAAAGCGTGAAAACAAATCTCTCCAAGGAGCCGGGTCCCTGCTCGGCGCTCTGCCCAGTCCAGCTGAGCACGACAAACAGAGCTAGGGTAAGCCGAAAAGAGGGCAGCCAGCCGCAGGCAGTCCGGGTCTCCACGGGAGGAAAGAGCGCGCACCGCGCAGAAGGATAAGAGGACTGGCTGCCCCTGAGCCCCACAGGGCGCAGCACTCTTCTAGCCACTTGACAAGCGGCTACCTCTGGCGCCCAGGCCTAGGGTTCCTAACACGCGTGGCGAGGAGAGGTGACCTGAAAGCAGGCAAAGGTGTGCGCAATCGCTCCTCCGAGCTTCGGAGTTGAGCACGTGGCACGCGTGCGGCATGGGTATGTGGACCCCTCTCTCGGCCCTTCCCGTAGTGCGGAGGCGCCTCTGAATCTCGCTGTAGTGCCACTGTCCCGCCCCTTTGTGTGCCCCCACAACTAGAAAAGTCTTTTCCCAGAGTGGTGTGTATGGACACTCCAGCGCCACTCGCATCTTGGGGAGACCCAAGACTGACCACTGATCGATGGGTGCAGGAGAGGCCTGGGAGTGGGAGCACTCAGGCGCAGGTCCTTGCGCCCTGACGCACGGGACCTGGCCAAGCGGCGACCGGAACCTGTTGCGGCCTCTGGCCCTGTGGGACATAGAACAGCTGGTGGGGAAAGCGGGGAGCAGCTGGGTGGATAGGGCTGGAAACGGAGGAGACAGAGAGTTAACCTGAGCGAGTTCGTCCCCATTCCCCCCCCCGCCCCCCCTCTGCAAAGTCTCCCGGTGCAATCTGAAAAATCAAACTCTAAAGTCTCCAAGACGCAATGGACAGAACAGGAGAGCTTGCGTCTCCACATTCGCCCCCCGCGGAACCACAAACAGACACACATTCTGTCCAATAATTCCCGGGCCTCGAAAATCAGACACCGCTGGGAGGGGAGCCTAGTGAAGAGCCGAGGGAAGGGGAGTTAGAACCTGGAGGTTCGCTCTCCGGAGTTTTCTGCCACCATGTTTTGGGCTCGGAGCGCACAGCATGGCTGAGGACTAGGGGTGCGGCTCTCGTTACGCCCCGGGCGTGGGGTGGGGCCTTCCGAGCCTGCTCCGGGACAGCTCCTACAGGCGCCCTCCGACGGAAACCGGAACGTCTATAAGGAAATGAAGAGTCAAAGTCAGAGGAAAGACTTTTTGGGCCCCAGCGGTCGTTTGCAAGCATGTTCAGGAAACACAATAAGGGAAAATGGCTTTAAATGACAGCCTCGCCATCCTAAACGGTTATGTATTCAAATTGGGGTTTCTGGTAAAATTAAAAAGTAAAAATGAAAATCAGATATTTTTGTGTTTATTTTGTTATTAAGAACGAATTACTAAAAAACGATGGCCCTGTTTGGAATTCATATATTGCTTTATCAGTAAAGTCGGCCAGTATCAACTAAAACTAAAAAAATGCAGCTATGCGAAACGTGATCGCTCTGGTTCGAGTTCTGTCAGTTGCACGTGTCTAAGAAGAACCTATTCCGAAGACTGTTGCAACCGGGTGCTCTTTTTAAGTCGTGACTGAGATCTACGGGGAGAAAGGATTGACTGGACCTCCGACCCCATCCCTCCTCTGTAGGACTCTAAAAGTGAGTCGAGTGCTGGCTCGCAGTATGCCGGAGGAGCTTTGATTGCTGAGAAATTCCCATGCTCGTCCACGAAATGACAGTTCCTGTTCCTGGATAGTGGAGACAGGGATGGGGAAGAGGGCAAAAAATCCTTAAAACCCTTTTGGAGGAGAATGTCTTAGAGATACTCCCAGATCTCTGTTCTACTATCGGAATTATACTGAAAAAAAAATTTTTTTTTGTTATTTTAATCCACAAGACTAGATACCCTCCTTTCCTCTCCCACCTTGATAGAACTGTCTCCATTTGGAGGTAGCTCTGGGTACACACGGCCTCGAGACAGGCGCCTCTCTCACTGAGAGAGGCGATTCCCGTCCGGAAGACCCCAGCCCTTACTCTCCGCAGCCATCTCCGCGCTGCCGCGCGGCGGATAAAAAAGGAAACGGACAAGTGTGCCAAGCTAGGCAGGATGCTGGTGGCGCGAAGATGCGCAGCACGCGCGATGCCTAGAGGTGCTCTGGTGTCGGCACTCTATATAGGGCCTGGCGGGATGGAACTGGATCCTGTGCTGTAAACTCTGTGATCAAAACATGACAATGAAATAAAACTTTTCCCTCACAGACTTGTTTGTATCTTGGAAGTATTCACCACCGACGCCTAGGTTTAAAATAATTAGATAATTGGATGTTCGCGTTGACGCACTGACACCGGCAAAGCCAAGAGATTCACAAGACAAAGCGAAATTGAACCTTTAAGTGACATTCTTAAGTTGGCAAGAATATGTTTCTCTTTGTCGGGCTACTTGCACGCTGCGAACAGGTGTTGCCTAAGACTAAAGGTCCGTGTTTTTAGTGCAAGGGCACCCAAACTCTAGGGATAGAATCGAGCACCGAAAAGAAATACACGAGATGAGGTCGTTGGGTGCCGCTCTCATTTCAGGGTACTAACAGCTTACTGAGCCAGGCGTCTCGCTCTTGTTAAAATCAGGACCAAAGACTCAAACTCTGTCGCGCTCAATCTCTCTCTCTTCCCCTGAAAGCGAAGGTCAGAGCGAGGGGCCACCCGAGTACCTAGAGAGACTGAGGCGGTCACCCTGGCGTCGGAGAAGCGGAACCCAGCAAGCAGCAGGCTGTAGCGCAGCTCACCTGTGCTTTGAATTAAGGGCATTTCTCCATAAAGTCAGGGCGTTCTAAGCAACCACTCAAAGTGGGTCTAGACACGGTGAAGACTTAAAATTAGACCTTCTCTCAGAGCTAAGAAATGCATGGTCATGGAACAATGATTATATATTTTCTGTAGCTGGAACGATACACAGTAACTGAAATTCTTAAGAGGACATGAGGAGAGGAGTGCAATATGAAGCCCCCATTATAAAGTTTTAATCTCTTTCTAAAGAAGTTCCCTATAAGATCTGACTTTTGCAATGCTGCGTGTCTGTTGCTTTTCCGGGGCTTTACTCCTAGAGAGACTATGACAGGAAAAGTCCTCCATTGTGCTGATCTCGGAAGATCCAAGGAAGATGCATGCGAGGCTCTTTCCCCGCACAACCCAGATGCACAGCCGGGAGTTGGAAAGCGACTTGGTAAATGTGAAGCAGAAAAAGCACTAGCCACTGTGCAACTTAGGTATTACAATTGAATGTTCGTGGAGGCGGTGCAGTCTGCACGCAGGCATGGGAAAGGGTCATCACTCCCTCCTTTTACCCCAAATTCTCGGGAGGCGCACTCCCTGACACCTCGTTGGCCTCGGGTGATGCGCAGCCGCTTCCTTAAGGGAGAATCCGCAACAGAGTTCGTTTCTAGGTTGAACTCTCGGGGATTCTGAGTCAGAATGTAATTGTCTTGGGGCTGCAGACACCTGGGAGATGAGCACTGACGGCTCTGCAGACTTCCAGAATTTCTAAAGTTTTCTCTTTCTCTTTGCTTTTTAGTGTGCGGGGCTTTGGTTGAACAGAAGTTGTGAAAATAAAAAAGGAAAGCCTCATCTTTTTAAAAAAAAAGTCAGGGTGTTAAACATTTCGCTTATTATTTAATGTCTTTTATAGCCACCGACTTTCGTCCCTCAAAGTTACCTGCAGAGAAACGCATCTGGTAAAAAGAGAAACAAAACAAACAAAAACCTAAATTACCACGGAGCTCTGCCTTCTCTCTTTTTCCCCGACCCGCAAAACATGCCTTTTTTAAAAAGGAGGAGAGGCAAAGTAAAAATAACAGCCCCAGAATTCTCATGGCGATTGACTGTTATAACTCTGCATTTAAGAAACAGTAACATTTTAAATTTCAATGACTGCAGTCGGTCCGTAATTCACCAGGATGAACGAAGAAGATGGTATCCATACTCCATTCTATGAATTCACAGTTGTCCGGAGGTGAAGCTCACTGGACCTCTAATGCCCAAGGATCAGGGCACTGAGCCACAGCTCAGACCTTCTTCAGTGGCTTCCATAGCATTATTTTCTTGCTAAAAGTTAGTGCTGGGTAGAATCCTAGAGGCTGTGGTATAACTTACGTATAGCAGACCCAGGACCTTAAAAATTAATATTTTATTTTTTATCTGAGAAACTTTTAAGGTAATATATTATTTTAAAACTAAAAATTGAACCTCATCACTATCCGCCAAAGGAAGAAAAAAGTTTAAGAAATGCCTACTGAGTTCTGCTCTGTACCAAAAACCACTGATCCAAGGCCCAAAGGCCCTGAAATTCTTGGTTCTTCTTTACAACACTATTAAGTAGAAGAATTGGGAAAATCT